AAAAAAATTAAGAACAAAATGATATTATTACGGAAAAGCAGGTTTTAACTAAATCAATTTTATTTTGAAAGTGAAGCTCAATAACAAAAAATGCCTGCAATTTTTACTGAATTTCTATATTAGAAATTGTTTACATGTTATTTTTTTTATTTATTTACATTTTCGAATTTTTTTTTATTTCTTTGTCCGTGAGCAATTGATAAAAAAAATATTTAATGGGTCGAAAAATTTGTAATGATATAGAGATACCGGTGTTTCCGAATTGCGGACAAAGTGACAAAAACCATGTGAGTTGCGGACAAAATCTAAAAAGGTAACATACGAATTGCGGACACAAATATAAGATACGAATTGCGGACAAATGTCCAATTTTTATTTTTGATATTAACGATTGTGGACGTTGGGAAATTACTGTTCAATATTAACGATATATATATATTATTTATCAGCATATAAGATTGTGCAGGCGCTTTTGAAACGACTGTTAAAAAATATGTTTAATCATTTTATCGACAACCTTACTCGCTTGCTTATCTGTCGTAGTGTCGTCTTTCTGTTCGTTTATTTCCAATTTTTTTGTATAAAAATGTATAGTGAAAAACTTAAAGAGTTACGTGTGGTTGACGGTTTTAAGTTCCGTTTTCATCGCATAATGAAAAATGAAATTCAACGGTGGGCGTGTACAAATAAAAGGTGTAATGCATTTTTAAAATTTGATACACATGGTGTTGAAATAGACAATAATCTTGAACATAATAATCACATTATTGCCACAAAATTTAAAACTTTAAATAATAATATAATATAGTAACTTTAAATAATTTTAAAAATAACGATTGCATTTTTGCAAGACACACATATTTTTAACCTCTTGTTATGTTATAATATTGCCCTAAAATAATTTGTCCGCAACTAGTATGTGTCCAGAGATACATGGTGAGGGACCTTGTAATTATAAGCTTTATTATACTTATTGGAAAATTATAAAGATAAAAAGCCACGATTCATTTTATTGGCATTTGACAAAATTAGTAAATTAGTCAAAATCATGAAATTTTGCAAATAATTTTGTAGTTATAGATGAATTAAGTGTTTAATTTATATAGTAGAAGCTTGAAAATTTAATCCAAGGATTTTCATTAATAGTTCACACTAGAACCAAATAACCTAATAAATACATAACCCTAATTTTTTTAAATAAAAAATCAAGTTCCAATTTGAACGAAATTCGATGAAGATTTAACGAAAGATATAACGATTTTAGTTGTTTTATTTTAATTCAAGAATATTTTATGTGTGGATTAAAAATATTTACATATTATATTCTTATTATTTTATTTTATTTTATAAATACATTGTCATTTTCATAACATTTAGGCTGATAATAGGTATTAGGTATATTATTGCCTTTTTCTAGTGTATACAACTGATATGAAAATAAGTTATTATAATAATTAATTGACAAGTCAATTTTTGTATGCAATGATTTATAATTGAACTCAAATTTAGCACATCTGTTACAGTGACCCACTCAATGAAGAGGTACACTCAGTGCCTACGTTACTGTAGGGCGGTTACTTGCCTTGCATTTTTTATATTGTGTTGGAAATACAAAGATTATTAATTTTTTTATTACAAATTAAAGAATAATATTGGCCAATCTAATGTACACAAAATATCACAAGTAATGGTTTTTTTTAAAAATATTAATATAATATAACTACAATATTTCACCTAAATTAAACTTAAAAATAGGAACTGCCTTGTAATTCAAACACTTTAAACTTTAATTTAAAATACGTTTTTACATCCACGTGTTGCATTTTAATGTTACATGTAATACTTTATATTTAATAGTAGTTTAACGTAACAAATGTGTCAAATGACTTTCAGAAAATACTAATAACAATATTAATCTCTGGATAAAAATGCAAATACGCTAAATAATGTATTCTCCTTAGAAATATTATTATGCTCGTACATTTACATAATTTGTTATTGCGGAAAATAATTGAATCTGTTAACGTTAAATTCTAATAGTGATAAATTGCATTAAATACATGGCAAAACTAGTTTTCTGTTTGATAAATCAATATATTAACATTGTTTGAGATTAATAATTTAATAAACTTATATATAGGTACATTGATATGAAGCTATCAAATGGGTACTTGAAAGTATAAATAACTTAATGTGCCTAACTCATATAAATATATTACAAAATACGATTAGTGAATAGACTTATTCTATTTTAATATTTTATAGAGGAGTGTATAATAAAACGCGTATTTTAAAAAGAACCATAGTTTATGCAGTGTTCGTTTATCATTATGTTTTTTTAATTTTTAAGATTTTATGAAATATTCAATTGGTTGTCATTTTAATTACAATAACTACGCTGACAATACATGGTATTTCTTATTATTCGGCTCCATGGGGTTGATTATAATATACCTAGTTCCTACAAACCCAAATAAAACTTGCGGTGTGTTAAGTAAATAATGTATCGTGGACAGTGAAAAATAAATAAATGAACAACGTCCCACACTCCCACGGTGCCATAACTTTTTGAAATGTCAGCGGTAACTTTGATAACTCTATCGTTTTACTATGTATAGAAAGAGTAACTGTACCTTTGGGTGCGAGGGCACCTCTGGGGTGTTCTATAATGTTTTGTATTACAGTCTACAGACAAATGTCTACAAATTGTATCCGTTTTCTTTTCTGTTAATAATACCTCGAGGTACATTGTATGCGTACGTATTATGTACTACTATTATTATTATTATTATTATTATTGCGTCTCTCGTTCGTACCAAAATACGGTTCCCTAACAAATGGCAGCAGTTTTATTTGAATATAAAAGTGCAGTTGTATTTTGTGACAAATTAAAATCCAGATGAAAAACGAACAATGTTACGAAAGTTATTTTATCCTTCGACAAGCGAATTGAAATGACAATATTATAGTCGACAATAGACGCCGGAAAATCTTACACGCACATCGATTCTGAATATTTACGCATGATGTACGTTTCCAAACGTATATTTTACGGTACAGTATATCGTATATGGGGTATTATGCTGTACACAGTGTGGCGTAAAAAATCTAAGAATCGGTGGAAGCCTCAATCATCATTAGTTCCGTCCCAATCGTAAAACCAACTTTATCGCCCGTGACTGCAATGGCAGCAGTAGAAGCAGCTATTAAAGTAGAGCATAATAGTAGCGCACATACTCCCTATTTGGCGTAATTTTCATGTCCGATTTTATGTGTGTGCATGTGTAAAAATGTATATTACATATATTAAATCAAATATATGTATTTATATAAGTACACATTACACATTACAATTTTACAACATGTATCATAAAAAGCTCAAAGTGTTTTGTATTTTAAATAATATAATATTGTATTTTACTCCAAGATTTGTGGTTGATATAAGTTTTTCGACAAATAAAACAGTTTTTCGAATACATTATTGAATTGTCTTATCCGGTTTTATTTAAGTTATTAGAGCAGAACATTGACAAGTGATTAGCAAAATATTTTAACTGTTAAAATTATATAGTACCTATCTCATTTATAAATAAAATCAATTATTACATCAACTTAAGGTCTGAGATATTAACATACACTTTTTACTGAAGCTTTGATATCAAAATATTTTTTTTTAAAACCTTCAAATTGTTGAAGATTATTTTGTGACTGTCTTAATCAATTGTCAATTTATCACATTAGCCAGTTTTCCAGTGCAATTATGCATTTGATATAATGCTGCATTGAATATTATAATGCCCAGTGATGAAACTTAGGCACCAAAAGCAAAAAACATCGATGTCGATAGCTAAGTAACAAAATCGGTTACGTTGATCTCATAACATTTTGCAATAATAATGATTATACAACTGTAAAATGTTTCAATATATTTGTTCACTTTGTACTAATAGTTCTTGTATAAATAACATAAAAGTAACATCTTGATTATTTAATTTAATATACTGTGTAACAATGTATAAGTAATAGAACATTTAAGATTTTGTTACGTAGTCATCAGTATTGCATAAAGTAGTGAAACACAGGAAATTAATATTAAAATACCCTTTAAATACAGCGATAATTCAAATTCAAAATTTAATTTTGCAAGTCTAGAGGTTTTAGCATGTTTTATAGATTTTGATTAGTGTATATTTAATGATTTTATAACATTTACTCTTGTTATTCATGGTTAAATTTGGTAAAATTATCATATTTTAAATTTTCATTAACTAATTAAAATTTAAAAGCATAAAAAATCTGTTAGTCCTCAAAATATGTAAAGTGTAATTTCACTGTAACAAAAATATTTTTCCAAACATTTTTTAGTTAATTTTTAATTAACTAAGTCATATATTTTGTGGCATCTAGTTTATATAAAAAAAAAAAATAGAATATTTTATATTAATTTATATTCAAATAATAACAGTTTTTCACTTTAATAGGGTGTAATAATACAAATAAAAAAAAATATTAATAATATAATAAAAAACATTAATGAACTATTATAAATTATGATGGTGTAATTGTATTTTTCTTTTTTTTTTATTTGATACGTTTAAAGTGTATTTCTTGATATCGTTGTTTTTATTTCTACGTTTTAATTTCATATTATAAACGTATTCAGTGGGCATTTCTAAGGAAATATTTAAACGATTTTAAATGCTATAAACCCTGGAATTTGATAATGAAAATAATATAATATATATAATAAGTCTTATATTCTTATTTATGTGTACGCATGTATGTCATTTATAAAGTACTAAATCAACGTTCAATATTGTGAAAAGCGTAATATTATTGTCGTCGAAAATTCGCAACTGCAGTCTGCTGCATTTTGCACGATTCCATTCCCAGTGTCGACCACATATTGTTGTATTATAATATCTGCATACATTTTACAACACAAGCTATTTGTGCGTTGCGTTTTGATCTGACTGACGGATCCTGTCTCGGTTTTTCAGGCGTCAGTGGTGAAGTACAAGCTGACAACAATGATGCCGGAGACGGTGGTTGGCCCGTGGCGGCAGTTGATTCGGCGGCGGACACGAGCAGGAAGCAGAGAGTGCACCACCACAAACGCCATTTGTCGAGATCTTCATCGGCGGTCGACTATGCCCCGGGGAACGCACTGATTAACGAGCTCGGAAATCCGGACAACATGTTCGTCACCGAAAACGGCACCGTTGTCACGTCACAGATCGGCGGCACTGCGATCCTGCCGTGCGCCACCGTCAAACCCGGCACGGCCACGGTGAGTGCTATTATAATTATTAATACCGTTGTATGTGCGGACTATAATAAGACGAATAAAACAATATAGTAATTGCGAAGGCTACGGTAATTATTATTACAACGACTGTATAAGTAAAACATAAATTATGATAATCCCGGTCACGAGCCTCGTCAAATGTTATCGTCTCTAGTGTTATAGTATATTATGCTGTATATTATACTTGCAGTCGATTCATCGGTGAGCCGATTGTGATGACGGTTTTTGTTTGACGAAAAACTAAAAACGCCCTTCGACTGACCGGAATAACGTGACGCGACCGCCACTGTGTCTTCGTATATTAAACGAAAAGTCCTTTTAAGATTTCTGCATGTTTCCCCCTCCAATAACGATTGGTGTGACTACGTATTGTAATTGATTTCCGGAAAAAGGCAATAAAAGTTCTTGATTTTGATAACGTATACATTTAAAATTGTATCCTTCTTTGTTAGGTTTAGTGTTATAATAATACGCGTATTTGACCAAATTGTTTAACTGCTGGATTAAAATCGTTGTCAAATTGTCTAAATGTCGCTAAATACTAAAAAGATATGTTTTAATTTGGAGGAATGGGTTGAAAACATAGTTTAAGACCTTCGAATGATTGTTAAAATATACCACAGTGCTATAGTATAAACTAATATATTACTAAAAAAGTACCCACCTAATCAAAGGTATATAATATTATAGCAAACGTGTTCAGTTAAAAATTACAAAAAGCTTGAATGGTATTTTTTTTTTTTCAAAAAAACTTAAACAAAATATGATTACAAATCTATTATGTATATTTGCATTAGATACATAAGATACTTATTAATAACTTTCACTATTAATTAGAAAATATCTATATAGTCTATATTATATACTAGTAAATCTAAAATCGATAAATCTATTGACATTTAAACAGTAATTGTATGTTGTTTTTTATGTTACCTATAGATAATGAAATATTATAAAGTAATATATATATTTAAGTATATAATGTAACATTCGTGTTCTGAATTCGATTATTTTTTTTAGACTTTTCAAAAAAAGTGTTTATTCAGACTATAACTCCTAAAGACAAAACAAATGAATATGTAAGTAGGTACCTTATAGAAAACAATTATAATACGACGTACAAACTGATACTGTAATAATATGTATTAATATTAAAAGAGGTCATCATGATATTATTTAAGAAATTCATATGTAACAGTCCTACAGTTCCACGAAATATCGTTCAGTGAGAAAATTTCGTTTATTTTAGTTTTTGTCCTTCCATTAATATAATATTCTTTTTGTAGATACCCAATTGGAATTCTAATTGAATGTGGTAAATTCATACTTTATGATGATTAATATCATGAGCACTATTAAGACTTTAATGAGAAACCATCGGTTTGAATTAAAGATGTTTGTCGTAATTGGTAAAGGTATATTTCAAATCCCGATTTATCAATAATTCAAGTAAAGCAGTCTTTGAAATGGAAAATAGGTACCAAGCTTGTTATTATTTAAATACACGCTATTTACTGCGCTTCGTGATCAATTTATATTATATTGAATCAATGAAGCAAATTATGACTAAGAATAATCTTACTTACAAGTAAAGTATACGATTATGAATAGTAAGGTGTGGTAAGGGTTATCTCCCAAAATATATTTATTTTTAAAATTTATTTTATTTTTACACTCGAATTTATTAATTTATGATATACCTGCCTAGTGCCTATTCAAAATAAATTGTTCCTTAAAAATGTTCTATCTTTATATTTCACATGAAAAATATTATAATATTTTCTAAAATATATAACGAACATAACCCATTTGTAACATTTGTAAACATAAATACAATATTAAATATTTTTATCATAAAATATTAAAAAGTTTAATGTCATAATAATATATATAAATTTAGTAAATATTTTATTAAATTTCATTATCATTGACTTGTTGGTTGCCAAATTAATAAAAAGAAATATACGATTATATTCCAAAATTTTTTTGGACAAAATAAATGTGATTCGTTTTTTTATATAGAATTTAAATTTTTTTTGATAATAAACAATTTATATACACACCGATATAAAAATATAGGAACGATTTTTATCCAAATACTTTATTTTGTTTATTTAACTTATTCTTCAGACCTCTACAACATCGTATTTAAACCTCTGTAGTTATTTACCTAAACGGCTAAACATATTATAAAAATAATTATTCTTAGTAGTGTGTATGTACCTATTGCATTATATTAGTGATGTTCATTTGGTGGTGTGAAAACTATTGTTCAAGTCGGTTATTAATCGGGATTTCTTGTTGGACTTGTTTATACTTGACACATTTTTTAATCATGCTGAATTATAATGTTTAAGTAAGTGGAGTACAGAACACAGAATTGTAGTTCAATAAAGTACAAGAAAGCAATTTTTAAATGATCAAAAGCCCGAGGATAGGGTATTGTAGTCGTAGTAGCTATGGAGAATGTAAAATATTCTTTTTAGCTACCTTAAGTACCTATATGAGAATTGAATTTAAAACTGGTTTGATTTGGAATTCGATGAACTATCATAAATTAAAAAATATATACTATATGTATTTATACATATATATTATATATATACACTTCGGTGACTGTAAAAACGCCAACTATTTATGATTCGAACGTTGTTTAACTCGTTATTTAATATTAGGCATAATTTTGTTCAAATCCTAAAAAATATAGAAATAACTAAGAAAGATTTAATTTTAAATCGAAGCCAGCAATGAGTAACATTTTTTTTTATGGGTAACTAAACAGAACTATTCAAATATGAGGTTATGATTTCAATAACTGTTAATGTAACCTCCAATAAATTATTTAATCTATTATCTATGGGTTTATATTTAACATTTTTCAATTATTTTCTGATTCTATAAGTCTCAACAGTACAATTAATAATAATTCTTTTTGGCTCTTAGAGCTCGCATAATCCTAAAATCTCTGACCACCTATAGATAACACTATATTTTAAATATTCAAGAAGCATAAGTTACAAATTGCTTCCATTAATACTTCTGCACAAGTTTTCATCTCTTTTTTCAATTGTGGATGATATCTTCAGAAAAATTATCTTTAGATGTTCACACTGATTGTCGAGTTTTGTAAAAATATAAATTAACATTATATCCGATCATAATAACAGTTTCATTTTATATAATCAATGGCAACCATTTATATAAAAAAATAATTAATTTCTACTACTTTCTACTGTCACTATTATAATTTGTAACCAATCTGAACCATTAATAAACAAAAAACAAATTTAATTTCTATGCGAACAACACTTTAAAATTCGAAAGTTGAAAAATCTTTTTTTAACACACCACTGTGTGTTGGTACGAAGTTACTGTCAAAATGACAAGTCCCTATAGCTATCAGCTATCATAGATTAGGCTCTACGTTGATCAGTCAGTCAGGACACGTTCGATTATGTATAATATATATATGGATACTATAGCTGATCCCGTGCCTTTTAAAATTGGCAACTCTCATATGATTTAAACTTTGTTCAATTCGGTGTTATGGCGTTTAAAACTTAAAAAAGAAAATATTTAATTTTAAATTGGTGGATAGTAATTATTAGTAACTTTTTTTTCTTACAAGTAATTAATTGCTATCAGAACTAAACGAATCTAAATTATACATGTGAAATTCTAAAGCAATTTGAATAGTTATTAGGCCAACCTACAAAAACTGATTCAATATATTAACTAATAGTTAAAATATTTAGATTATTTTTTAATTTCATAAGCTTCAGCCATTGTGTTATATTAATGTATTTATTGTCTCTGGTAACTAAACCTTAAGTAATATCTTTAAAATTATGAAAACAATAATATAATACAATTTACAAACCATATTAATTTATTTAATTACATGTTTCTTTATTTATGCTAGTAATTGATTACAAAACGATAACATACGAGTATACGACAGACTTCTAAGCAAAATTGTTTGCACTATTCGACAAGCCGATTAACTCCTACATGAACCAACACGAATTATATTTTTAATTCTAAATAATAATAAATTGCATTTATTTTTTTTATTGATTATTAGAATACTCATTGACCATTGTACGTTATTGATTTAATTTACTCCATTTTTCAATACGTTTTAATATCAAATAATTTATTACCTAAAAAGTAAAAACTTTTTTTAGGAAAGTAATGTATCTGTTTTTACGATAAGTAAAAAATATAGTATTAAATACAGCCCTACAGGTTAAAATTATATCCAATAATAATCATAACAATAATTTTGTTTTGTGTTACCAGTAGTGACGAGTTATTTTATATAAATTTCTACTATTACTTTTATAATCTGTAACTGATGACAACCATTTAATAAAAAACAATTTTAAATTTCCATCGGGAAAATTAAAATTCTTTTGTGAACAACTCTTAAAATGGGAACATTTTAAAAATTATAAAAATCTTTTCTCAGTACACTACTACAACTGATACAATGATGCTATCAAAATTTCAAGTCCCTATAGAAATCATATATTTGGATCTACGTTGATCAGTCTGTCATCCCTGACTGTACGTTGAATTATACATATATATATATTTAAATGTAATATGTATACATTTTTTTTATAAGACAACAAATCATAGATTATGAGTATATTTAGGTGTTTAGTGACATTGATATTGTTTAATGTAAATATGTAATTTATTCTGTAATGTAGAAATCCTTTTATTTATAAAAGGTGTTTGAAAATACAATAATATTAAGTACCGTCCCACTTACTAATGTAACAAATACTTAATTTCAGGAAACATATGCCTATTAATTATTATTATTATTTTGACATAACGACAAATTTTTTTACACATCTGGGAAGATATATGCACTATTGAAACTTGATTCATCAAAACATGATTTCAACATTTTTTTTTTTACCAGCATATTTGAAATTGAAAATTGGTTTGGAAAAGCTTTAAAAGCAACA